GTTTATCTCTTTTACATCTGTGAATTACTCTTGTTTCCCTTTCTACTTTCTTATGACCTTGTCTGTACCTCGCCTCTGTGATGTTTAAAGTCAACTAAAGGGCTAATGAAAGCCATCATAAATGAATAAACCTCCATAACCCTCATCGAACTATTCGACTGTTCGCAGTCTCAGTTGCTTCTCCTTGTGAATACTAAAATTAAAATACCATCTTTTTATGAACAACGAGTCATTTTTCCTTAGATCGATTTGAACTACTCTAGTAGTGTTAAAAATGTTGTATCATTTATTGAATACGTGGCAATAAAAGGAGGTGCAGGCAGAACTGATTTGAATAAAATATTTCGAGCACAGCTCATTCCTGCATGACTCACTCTCAGGTATTTGACTTCCCGTTTTCGTAATCTGTTCTTCCTTCTCGTCTTGTAATTGGCTTTAAGATAAGATAGCACATATTTTGCCTGACAATTGCGCTTCATCCTCTTTCTAAATATCATTTCCTTGTCAATTCATCTGTGTAATATAAAAACTTCCATATTTGGAGCGAAGGTTGGGGTGGGGGTTGGGGGGTGGTGGGGGGTAGGGACTTTAATAATGGGCAGTCTCTCTAAAACGGATTTTTTTATCTCTTTTACAAAACCCCTCGTATGACATTCGCTATCTCCTTTAAGTGAATGAATTATTCCCTGTTGGAGGAAGTCATTGAATGCGAGCGATAATAAATTACATTATTTAATTTTAACGCACCAGGTTAAATTGGTGTATTAACTTTAATAACATTATTTGATAAGTTGATTTAAACACTGAATGAAATGTGTACTGTCATGTTTCTGTCAATTTGATTTCCATTAAGTCCTCTAGTGACTGATTGAGAAATTGAATAAGTAGTTTTATTTTTATTTTAAGAAAAGAATTTAAGGTGAATATACACAACTTCATTGTATGTTTCCTACTTGAGTTACTACCCGTGTAGTGAGAAATTCACTGCGAATTCAAATATCACTCGGGGTCCATTGTATTTTTTTTTATAAATTTTGCTTACCGTTTCTTAGGGATCCACGTATCGATCAGAGTATGTGCTTCTGCAAATTTGGAATCCAGAAAAAGGTTTTCGCAATCCAAAGTATGTCCATAACCTGAATCTCTAGGCATTCAGATATCTCTAAAATGGGAAGTACCTTTTAATTACAACTTCGACATCGAATAAGTCCATTATTTGGTAGTTGGGGTAACCTGGAAATTCTACATTACCATGTTAGTTTTCTTCACCTCCAAAATCCCATTAAGACCTTCAGTGATTTATAACTTATGGGACTTTGTCTTTCTCAAGACCTACTTATGAGATAGGTCATCGTTATTCATGCATTTTCGAACTTAGAAGCGTTCCCAGAGTGTAGTGCATTGGTGAAAGACATTTCAGGCAAGAATTATAATTTTTCCTCCCATTTTTTCGTGCCTAAGCATTGGAAGCAGTTGAAGAGCTGTCGAATGGGAGAATCGGAGGAAGGTCACCAATTGGAAGGGAAATGTATGCCGATGTTTCGTGCCTCAAAAAAATGTGAAATTTGTTTTCAAATTACACCCATTTTTACCTTTTTTGGGTGTAGTCCGCTGTTTCCCTATTCTAATTTTAAAATGCTTAGATTTCGGAGATACTTCTTCCATTGAGTGGTGTGAGAATTCAAGGTTTGCGGAGTCCAGCTACTATTGAACGATCGAATAATTTCAAAATGTCAGCAAGTTCTCTAGCTACATTTGGCTACATACGTGCTTTAACGGTGCACGTGACAATGTTACTATGTCATGATTTAGTCTGATGGAATTTTGTGTCGTGTTCAGTCTTTCAGGTGTTTTAGAAAACACCAATTTGTACTTTGCCTGCCATTCAGATGACAAGCCGGTTGGCAAACATCCGCCTTCGTTAGTACTTCTTTTTGAATCCCTCGGGGAGAAACCTTTGACTCTACCTAATTACGCCCTAATTAGACTTTCATTGTCTTACAAAACAAGTTTTGTGCTTAGGAATTGTACTAATGAGAGCTCTCAAAGTTGATCCAGGAGTATCTAAAAGGATGTAGCTAATGGAATTCCCCCCAACAAAGCAACCAACTAACCTTCATTGGAGGTCACTTAAAAAATCAATATTATCAAAATCGATTACAGTTGAGTAGATACAACAAGCTAGCTGCGCTCGTTGCTAGAAGAAATCAAAGTCTGCTCAAGATATCGTGAATTAAAGAGGCCTTATTCCCTGATTCTACACTGAAATAATACAGAGACAACAACCACCAATCAGACCGGGGAGAGATTAAGTAGCTCTTTATTGGGTGAAAAATTGAAGTTATTACATTTTCAGGAGAGATTGCATTAACCAATCCCCCCCCCCAAAATATCCACCTTCATTCTCTCAGGATTCCTTTTTAGAAGAGCTTAATATTTGGGGTTCAGAAATCTTACCTTTTCTTGTAGCTATTTCTTTCATTGAAAGTACTTATCTTATTTGATATGATTTACCAATATTTCATTTGAAATGCTGAAGGTTCATAAGTGTTCAGCAGTTCCAAGTCCCTTTAAAGATCCTGCAACAGGTCTTTTCGCCATCTTTATTTCCAAATAATTGGTTTTAGAATTCTACTGTGCGGTGATAACTTAAAATCATCTTGGAGCTTCTATACTGTAAATTACGCTTTTGCAAAGCAAATATTTCCACTTTAAAAAGTGGAGCCATTTGCTTTGACACGACAGTGAACAATTTGAGATGTCTATATGCGAAATCGACTGTCAAAATTTGGCATTTTAACAAAATTCCACTAAATTCAAAAGTTTTATTTTGAAAAGTTAAGCTTCATTGAGATTAAATTAATTTTTGAAATAATCTTCCTATTCCGATGATTCGTACTAGAATGACAAAATTTGTTTACTTTAAGCCACTACACACTACAGATTTCCCACCTTGCAAATTCTAAAAAGTAATATTTTTTGCCGTAATTTTTTTGCCATTAAACCATAAAATAAATTACTGATTTTCTGCATCAATCATTTGGATTTAAAGCTAAAAAATGATTGGTTAATTTATTAGGCCCATGAAAGGCGTTTCACGAACTCAAGCAAGTCACCTGGAGAATTTTATTCTCGATTTGCAGTTGTATAACGTACAAAAATTGTTCAGAAGTATTTGGTAGTGCTTAAATGCGAAGGAATAGGCATATATCTTCTAAATAACCCGTCTCTAATATACACTTCCAATTCATCTAATCTTCGCCAATTTAAAAACTATGTAAAACTTAATTAGTTGTGTACACTGTTTGGAATGCGGATCAATCTTTTCTCCTACACTCTTCTGAAAATTAAAACCTCTGATTGATCCAGGAATTTTTTCTTAGAGAATGAGCACTTTCTAACCGTTAACAATCACCAAACATTCAAAAACCTTCTGAATGGAGGCAATTACTGACCTTAGCAACGAAGTCAAGTGGTTATTGTTATATTTGGGAGGGATTGTTGACTGTTATGTTTTCATAGCGACGTCAAGTGGACACTAATTCACTGAAATTGCAATTAGTCGAGCTATTGGTTGGAGGATGGGGGGGGGGGGGGGGGGGGGGGGNGGTGTGGAAGTCATTCCGATTTTGTCTATATGTATCCGTGTGGACGGATTTTCTTGCCTCCTCATTTGAAAAAGGCTAGTATTGTGAAGATGGGTGTATCAATGTTGCCGTCTAATAAGGTTTTACTATTATCATCTGGATTTAATTGGCCATCTGTCTTTATTTCCTTTGGAGAAAAATTTCCCCCAATTAGAATAGAATCCTTTTATGCCAATGATCTCCATACATCTGCTTTCGAATATTGGTCTCCCGCGCAAAAACAGGAGGTTTTTATCTTGTCGGAGCTATTTTTGTGTCACTTAAATAATAATAAATGACAATAATAATAATAGCAATTATCAAAACCTATTTAGGAAAGCGTGTTAAAAAACTCAGATATATAAAACTGCTTTGGGGGGGGGGGGACTCGAGTCCTGTCAAACCATCTTTTTATAAGCACATTCCACTCATTTATTTATAGGTCAACATCAGCTGGTAGATGGTTAATAAATGTGATTAAGCAATTGGTTATTTAAAAAAGCAACAATTTGGCCATGCTTTAGTGCATTTGAAACTACTCCCAATCACTCAGAAGTACTTATTGGTAGAATCAATTAATTAATTAATTGGTGGGTTTATTTCTTTCCACAAAATTTTTTTGTTGGTTCTTTTTTGTTTATATTTCCTTATTTTAATGAATAAAAGTAAGACAAAAATCTGGTCATTGTTACCTGTGACACAAATTATATGTTGTAGTGATAAAAAATAGGCATCTAGAGGTCATAATTTCGATACCCATCAGTTAGCGCTTAATTAACCAAATAACCAAATTCATTGGCTTAATCTGATTCTTGAAAGGTAATTTTTACTAGGATCACTGGGACACTTCACTTCACTCCACTCAATATTTATATCAAATGGCAAACTTTATGTCAGTTATCAATTTGCTCTTTAGTTGGAACACCACGAGTGAGCTTCAAAGAGGAGGGGTGGAGGGGTGAGAGAGACATCAAAGTCATGGAAAGTCGAGGAGTGATAGGGAGAGAAGTGTGATTCACGGGTGTAAAAGAGATAAACACAAAGGTAGGGAGAAAAGGGCAAGGTGAGTATTGTGGAAGTGATCGAATAATACATACAGTGGGGTCATGGTAGTTTGTAGTCAGAAATCAACTACCGGTTTATGAACTATTTTGCCATATGGGTATACGTTGACCAGGATGCACCACGTGGAAGTAAGTCTATTACGCACTCTCTCTTAACTCAATGTATTTGAAAGCACATTCCTAAATGAACTTGAGGGTTAGGAAAACCCAATAATTCAACGAGCATAGCTAGCATAAATTTGTGAACTTAGAGAATATTGATTTATATACCACCAAATATTATCTCTTATTCTAAGGTGAGCTGCACCAGATGCGTGCTGCAATGGATCTCATTCTCGCTGTGATTGCCTCCGATCCCCAATCCTCCTCTTGCCCAAATCTCTCCTACGCCGATGTTCGTGGTCCAGTTTCCAGTGTCTATCCCACAGGGTCTCCCTTTGCCTTTCCCTTTATCACTACCACCCCCAGTAATCTCCTTCTTCGTCCTGACGCCTCTTCCCTAGCTGCTGTCAACCCTTATCTTCTGGGACCTCTCGCGGCTCCCCTGAACCCTATGGATGCTGCCTTGATCCTGCAACTTGTCAATGGCAGTGATCAATTGAGTGCAATTCAGCAACAACAAGTTCAAGTACAGCAGCAGGCTCAACAAGTTCAACAGGCCCAGCAGAATGCGGCGTTGAACACCTATTTGCAGATGGGTGGTGGAGCAGGCAATTTGCCAACCGCTACGGGAGCTATTGTCACTGCTAATCATCATCAACAACAACAACAACAGCAACAACAATCACAGCAGGCCTCGTCGGCGTCGCCACTGGCAACTGCTGCTGCATCGCTGGGATCGTTTTGCTCAAATCCTGCTTTCCTTCCTGGTGGGTTATTGAGCACATTTCCTGGGTATTTTGCCTTGCGTCTTTTACTCTCAGTAAGGTCTATTTTTCAATTGAGGTACGTTTAAGGAGCCGGTAAATTAATTAACCAAGTCATTTCATAGGATATATTTCTTGTATTCTTATCTTAATTCGACACTTTGCTTGAGAAAATAGGTGATGGGTGTCCTCCTATGTGAAATGGAGTTAATTCAACCTGAGCACTGGAAATACTTAAATGCGCTAACTCGGCACAACTGTGTAAATTCATTCTCCAAACGATTAAGCATCTCTGTAGACAAACAAAAATGTTAAAATCGATAATCAAAATATGTTTGAATTCAATTTGAGTTTAATTCCATGAAGTAATCAATTAAAATTGGCTGTTTGAAAGCTTCTAGTAGCGGCTTTTCCTTAAAAAATGTTTTTTTTTAATACAAACGTTCACTGTCTGGAATCGTGATATTTTTAAATATCGTGTGAAACATGGTTTATTTCTGACTTATTTATTCGATTTTATTTGGTTTAAGCGTTAATGATCATATTTTAATAGCTATCATTATCCCTTTAGTTGTCTTCGGGCTTCACAAAGGGAAGGAATAACAAAATAAAAAAAATCGAGAGAGGAGGGATAGAAGAGTGTATCAAAGATGTAAAAGAGATAGATACAAAGGTAGGAAAAAGGAGAGGTGAGTACTGTGGAAGTAGTCGAATTTGACATACAGTGGGGGTGATGGTAGTTTGAAGGCAGTTGTCAACTGCCGCTTAGGGTGATGGTAGTTTGAAGTGAGAAGTTAACTGCCAGTTAATAATGTGAGTACTGTGGAAGTAGTCGAATATGACATACAGTGGGATCATGGCAGTTTGAAGTCAGAAGTCAACTGCCAGTTTATAGGTGATGGTAGTTTGAAGGCAGTTGTCAACTGCCAGTTTATAGACTTTTTGCCGTTTGAGTATACGTTGCCCAGGGAGCATCACGTGGTGGTATGTCTGTCGCACACCCCATTTTAACTTAAACAAGTACTTACAAATTCATCAGCGCTCCATATTTATTTTGAATGGTACGCGTTTCTCTGTGCTCAGGCAACATTATTCGCCCAAAACTCTTAAATTTTTGTAATTTATCCTAGGACCAATGAACTTATGATAGTTGATTGCTATTAAATCTCAGAATCGCTAAATTTCAATTGCATTCCTTATCCCGCAAATGTTGAGTGTCCCACTACTTGGTGCTAGATCTCAAGGAATATTATTTTACAGACACATTCAGACCCGGGGTTGGTGAAGCACAGTGTGGAATATCGGTTTAGGATGCAAGTGATCAAGATTACCTTTCACCTTATTTCATCCAACACACAATTCATTCGCCATCTTTCTACTAATTACTCCCACTCCACTTCAAAATCTATTGAACTTCAAAGACATTCAATCGATTAAATGCTAAATACTTCTCCTCAGAGCTAACTTAGCGTTAATCGTATCCTCCAAGTAATTAGATAAACCTGGATCAAACCCATTTTACCCTGTAATTAGCAGCTTTGTTTGTCTCGTAACACAGTAGTTATTGTTGAAAGTGTAAACTTTTTTGATGAAATTGCAGGGTTGTTAAAAATGAGTCATTTTGAGGATGTTTAGCCCGCCGATTCTCCCTCGGGTTTACCTATGCCCTTTTTCCTGTCTTCTCAAGCGTGAAACAAGTTTAAATTATATTGAAGTTTTATTCCCGCAGTAGCATTTAATGCTACTAATTGTGTAAAGTGTGGCTGTTGTAGGTCTAAGTTCTGAATGATTTGTTGTTATTATTTGGGTAAATTTCATTAGAATTGTGGCTTCTTTGAGAAATTTATTTTATTTCAAATGGCAGGCGTTTTGATAGCTACCATTAGCCATTTAGCTGACTTCGGAGCTTCACAGAGGGCAGGTTTATGGAAGTAACAGAAAGGGGTGGGGAACAGAAGAGCCTTTCAATATTTTGAAAGCTTCCATGCCTCCTCCTCGCAATTCATCTGTTTTTCTCTTTTTCTTTTGATTTTTTTTGGAATTTGACAAGTTTTTTTTCTGTAAGTTTCCTTTCATACGTAGATATGTGCCTGCTATTCTAGGTGGGATTAGTCATAATTGAGGCTAAAGGACCAAATTATGGCTGTTCTAAATAGCACTTTTTAATGTTTATATATTTTATAGTCTTAGTTAGCGTAGAAAATAACAACAATAAGAATTTGAAGATCTGCAAATTAAGTCCTCCTTCATTTCTCTTTTCGAATCCAAGTTAAGGCCCGATCTTCACCATTGGAACATATTTGGTTGTGGCTCAATTTGCTAGTTTGATTTTATAAAAAGAATACAAAAATATGAACTTTAATTCTACATTTGACTTACTTCCGGGTAAGTGTCCAATTTTTAGAATATCATTGCAATTATCCCCAAGAGGTGAAGTTAATTAAAGCCAATGACTGCTTTAATCACTGTTTCAAACAGGACGCGTAGAGACCTGGATTCGTGAGTCTTAAATCTTCCACAAAGAGGTCCGATGAAGCGACCGACTGAGCTAAATCGTCTTAACTGAAAAAAAACAAATGGTGAAAGAGGCTAAAAGAAATCCTTTCAAACTAGGACATTTCCATTAGTCATTTTTTACTCAAAGTGATTTGCAAAAGCAAGAGGTTGCGAAGGTTGTAAGGGATTTCAAATCCTAAAAGTTGAATTTCAAATGTTACTACCTTTTCAATTGGCAGTTAGTAAAACAACATGGGGGCTAGACTCAAGGCCAAGGAAAAATGGTCTGTATTGCAAACGATCGATTTTTTACTGACAAAATGGCCTCGCTTATTGGAGGGGGGGGGGATTGTTGATAATGCAGAAAAAAAACCGGATAAAAATTTTGTCGACTGCCTGATTAGCTAATGATTGAAGTGACTGTTTCTTACCCCCCCGTGATCTTATATAACCGAGCGTGAACATGGTAATCCAATTGAATATATGGTCCAGTGTAGATGGGATGAAGCTAACGATTTCCTCCACACTTACTCCACAAGGCGTACCGATAGATAGTTGTGCTCAGTACTATCTCGAAACACCAGTATTGTACAGGGGGAAAAGATTATGTCCCTAATATCCCGGATGTTGGCACTAGACGTGTCTTTCCCAACGGACAGCTTGCATGCTACACAAGAATTTGCAATTTCTTTCTAATACGTACATCCATCTACATTGGGTGATTTCAATTCGTTCAATGAATACGTGTTTTTTCTTAACTGAAAGCGATCACTTTAATTATTGGCTAATCATGTAACTAATTATTTGTTGCATATTCAAGCAATTCTATTTACAAGTCTGCCGTTATACTCTTTGTTGAGAGTGAGCCGATTTAGGCTTAATTCAGAGTGACTGCGAAATTATGAACGTGTCAAACGCCCAGCTTGCAAACAGGAAGCATTTTCCCCTAATTATGTTTAAGATTATTATTATTATTATATCAAATGACAGGCGTTTTGATGGTTATCATTAGCCCTTTAGTTGGCTTCAGGCTTCACAGATGAGAGGAACATCATAGTGAGAAACATCAAAGTGAAAAAAGTCGAGAAGGCGGGGGGAGGGGACAGAATAGTGTTTCAAAGGTGTAAAAGAGAGAGAGAGAGAGACAATGGTAGAAAAAAGGTGAGGTGGGTACTCTGGAAGTAGCCGAATATTTCATATAGTGGGGTTGTGGTAGTTTGAAGTCAGAAGTCAACTGCCAATTAATAGACTTTTTTGCCGTATGAGTATACGTTGCCCAGGGTGCACCACATTTTGCCGTATGAGTATGCGTTGCCCAGGGTGCACCACGTTTAGACTTTTTTGTCGCATGAGTATACGTTGCCCAGGGTGTTAGACTTTTTTGCCGTATGAGTATACGTTGCCCAGGGTGCACCACGTGGAGGTAAGTCTATCGCACACCCCATGTTTAAGATAGTGCACCATTAGATTTCTACTAACATGCAACCTCGTAAATCCTGGAGTTGGTGCTCTGGAATATCTCATTTGTGTAATGGTCCTCAACTGGGACGTCTGGAAACTGTTCCCTTCTGTTCCATTCTCAATCCTTTATTTGTGCATTTGACATATATTCAGTAGCACTTACTTTCTTCAAGGAGTTTAATACGGCAATTAACAAGCCAAGTTAGGAAAATGGATTAAATTGATCAAAGGAACAATCTAATTTTGACTATATCACTCATATCTCTACCTATTGCATTTAATGAGTTGAGAAGTCATTCATGCCTCTTGACAACTTGGCGCTTACTTGTTTCAGCCGCGATGTTTGATTCCCTCATGCCAGCAGCTGTAGCAGCGGCAGCAGCCGGTGGACCACAGGCCCGTTTTCCACCTTCGCAGTACCTTAGCGGACGAGGTCCCTACACGACAGCTTACGCAGCTCCCCCCTTCATGTCTATTCAACAATCAGCGCCAGCCTTCGCCAGTCCCTCTCCACCGTCTTCTGCCACTCCTGACGCGCCAACTCTTCAAGCCACTGCTGTTCTTGCCTCTGTAGCTCGAGGTGTTCCCAGTGGAGCTTCAACAAACCCCACCGCAGGTACTGCCCAAAGTGCTGAAGCATTGGGAATCTTTGACACGGGGCAGAGGAATCCGAGTGATGTTGTGGACGTTAACAGTGCCACTGTGGCGGCATGGGAGGAATGCACTAAGGGAGGAGGTGGAGGCGGTGATCAGCAGGCCTACTTAACGGCTTCTGCAGCGGCTCTGATGGGACTATACGCGAGTGTTGGCGGAGTGGTGAACTCAAATGCGGTTGTTGCAGCTCCGTCCGCAGCTGGGGCTCAATTATTGAGATCTTCTACTGGAGGTGCCGGGGGTCTTTTATACACAAGAGAAATCCTAGTGAGCAGAGATTTTCGAAAGATTTGATTAAACTATCGCACTACTATCCTATGTAGCTGAATATATAACGCCCATTGAAGAGATGATGGTCGTTCAAGAACTTCACTGGACTGAGTTGGGGGCATGGGATTGAGCACAAATTATATTAATAAACCCAAGTAATTAAGGAGAGGCCAATGCGGAATAGTGAAAGAGCAATTTACTAGCAAACAACAAAACGACAGTAACAGTCTTGTAACCGGAAAACGGAAATTGAAACCAAGTGGAAAAGGGCAATTGGATTTATGCAGGGACAAAAGCCGATAACCCAAAGAAGGTGGAAGAATTCTTCGTTTGCAGAACAATTGGAATGGGGGTAGCAAAGTGGTCAACATCTGTTGGCGAATTGCGATAACAGTTTATCATAGAGGGGGGGGGGGGGGTTGAGGAACTAAATTCCCTGCATATTCTAAATACACGTGGGAAAACGTAAATGGTGACATGGGCAGAACAGAGGGAAATGTGATATCCCGGGGGAGGTGGTGTATAACTGAGACAAATCGCTAAACAATTTGGTGGCGTTACGTCAGGTCTCCTTTATGTAATAGCATAGTATTTAGCCTCCAAATGCCCAGGTTGAGATGACGATTGTAACAATGACTAATCATATTGATTATTTCTTTAGTGTTAATTGCTGATTACACTTCTCCGGAGTTAATAGCTTACTGAAATTTCGAGAGTAAGGAGCCTTCGATGGTCTCAGGGTCGATTTCTTGAAGTATTCCCTGTTCAAGTTCTAATGTGCTTTCCATCTCACAAGAATTTCATTTTCTCTCGTAGTGTCGTATATAATTCTATAAATAAACTGACTTCAAAATTAAACTCAACATTTAAATTGTTGTAATAAAGAATAATCGAGTTTCATTGAAACATTCAACTTTTCTGTATTGTATTCCTTTCATTTCGCGAGATATTTTTAGCTGATTCCAAAGTACATTTTCACAATTTAGTCCTTAATTCATTTTTAATTTCGACCGAGCACAGGTAAAACATGGTTTCCATTATACTCGCTCATGGAATTTGTCCAACCTGCTTGGCATACTGATCAGGTCATTAATATATTTAAATATTTCAGCCGTAGAATGTTCTACTTTAAAACTCAATTAGTTTCAAATTAGATCCCAAAACACCAAGTCGTGACGCGTATACAGTACTTATAATTTTGTTATTTTTAGGTTCCTGAAAATCTGATTGGTCGTATTTCCGGTCCTCAAGGTCGTTTATTAATTGATCTGCAAACGCAAACAAATACTCTCATCCGAGTCTCTCCAAAACCTGTCTACATCTCGGGTATTCAAAGCAGGGTACTAGCTATCTCCGGTGACCAAATGAATGCGAATTACGCAGCCGCAATAATTGAGAACACTGTAGCTATTGAACAGCTCAATCAATCAGTGCTTCGCCGACCCTACGAAGAGGCAAGTGTTGCCTACATGAATCAAACCTCAGGAAAGTCCAATGGTGTCGCCCCTGAAAATCCCGGTGAATATGTATCTTCGGCTGAAATTTCTGCTCCACCTAACGTCTCCTGTTCAGCCCAGGCTTCTCATCCATCGTCTAAGCAACCTGCATTTTAAATTCCCTGATCTTATTATTTTTCTTAAAATTTTGAAGCTCGAAGCCAAATACAGGAAAATGTTTACCCTCCACTCTTGTCCGACAATGATACTCGCTGTCCTTCTCCCTTTTTTCAATCTTCAGCAGTTTCTATAGGACTAGGGAGATGATAATTCTCAAACTCCATTTCTCCACCTAACTCAAATCGTAAACCTCAACCGGCTATACAGGGAATCGATGATATTGGTGTTTTTATAATACCTTTTAGTCGATAATCAAAACAGTTTCTTTTTTACTTTAATCTCCTAGAGTTCTCTATATACATGTGCAAATGTATTCTTCCTTCTATTTTTCTCTCCCTTAATTATTGATGCGCATATGTCCAGCTTTAGGACGACATATTCAATATGGCTGCTATTGATAGTGATGAGGTAATACACCGTACTCGCTAAATATCAGTAGTAGTGTTGTTTCACCTGCTGGACGGGCGTGGATGTGATGAAATACAGGCCTGAAAAAAAATACCGAGCTCTCTTTCCCTCGTTTTGTTTTTCTCTATGAATAGTATCCTGATTTTAACTTAACAAATACAGAATCGATGCAGGTTTTGGTGTTGCAACACAAATTTGCTGCATTTTTGTTTTCTCTTTACTGTCTCCACGTTGTTTTGTGTTCACCCTTCAATGCCCTCTCCCATTTGATCTCTTTTATGTCTCTTTAAAGCCCTTTTCCTCTAGCTCTATCACCGAGGACAAGATTGAAGTACGAGTTTGGCCAAAGTTTTATTCTTAATAAAATTTTGTGAAACCTTGTTTTGTTGTTGAATAATTGAGCCATGATCTAGGATTATAGGCTGAAAAGGGTGGAGTTACTTTTGGTTGCAAACTGAAAAACAAAACTAAATTGAGGCAAAAGGCAGTTCGAAAATAAAAAGATTGGCATTAAAATCCGTTTTACATAAGAAGGAAAGTAGGTTCGATTGAGATATATTGTTTCCACTTGACTATTTTGTGTTCATTTTCAGTCATGGGAGCGCCATTGTCAGAAGGGAAAAAGAAGGCATGAATCACCGCATGTGACCTCTAAATTGAATTGAATGTGAGCTCTAAATTGTGGCGATCGATAACATACGAAGACATTCAACCCCATTACAGTCTGCAATAGGAATTTATTAGACTTGGAACCTAAGGATAACTTAAGTATACTCTCCCATGCTCTGTAATATAGTCTGACAATTTGGGCAGTGGAATGAAGACAATAGAAAATGACTACGCTATGTTATTAAAACGGTGTAGAAGTCAACTTCAGAGGAAGTTTCATGCGAGCAATTCTTTAACCAAAATTAAGGACTTAAAAGTTAATATAAAAATGAGGAGGACACGGAATTAACTAGGAAGAAAAATTGAATGTTCACAGAGGGAGTAAAACTGGACTGTAATGTACACTCCGTTATGCCGACTATTTAGCGTAAGTTGATATTCGGAAAAAGGGTGCGTGATAGACTTATCTCCACTTGGTGAACTCTGGGAAACGTATACTAACACGGCAAAAATGTCTGTATACCGGCAATTGACCACAAATTACAATGAGCCCATTGTGTGTCAGATTTAACCACTTTCACATTAGTCACTTAATATTTTTCTCTTCTTCAGTCTCGCTCATTTTACATATTTAAACCACTCCTTTTTCCCTCTAGTCAATTTATGACATCGTTGTTCCTTCTCTCTGTAGAGCTTGAAGTCAAATAAAGGGATAATGATAACAACAAATAAACTCGAATTTTGAAATAAAAAAACTATTCGGGGAAAATCCAAAATAAGGACATTAATTGACTGTATAAAGGGGCAGGCACAAAACATTTGAGGTGGCTATCATATTTCCTGGACTTTATAAAACACGTCTATTTACAGACGTAATTTAAAGCAAGAATACGAAAAGTTCAGCTGTTGACTAGTTTAAATTTGGGATTTGAGTTAAATAAAATTTGTTACCGAAGTGGAAATGATAGGGAGAGGTCTTAGCTATACACAAAAACGGAAAACCAAAAAAGAACAAATAACTAAAGATGATTTTGATGATGAAACCATCTACATAAAATGCCGTTGTTATGAATTTTCTGCAAAATTTTCAGAAAATGTTTGCGCTAAGTGAGTTTTAGGAAAACCTCAAAACGCTAAAACATTTCACAAGTCGATGATGGAATTCGCAGCTAAATAAACTATGTTTAATTGAATTGCTAAAAGCATTTTATAGTACAAACTTGAGATCAACTAATTTTATTTTTTCTTTGTTTAAAATTATGGATATATATACGACAAATCAAAACAGTTAGGCGATCGCCCTATGGGTGCTTTTTTACTTTGGATATAAATAGATAAATATCTTCGGAATTTCTTAGCTTCGACCTGTTAAAAGCATGTCAGAGAAAGCTTCCTGTCTCTCACCACGTTTACAAGATAAATCCAAAGCACTTTCGGGAACTCCTAGGCGAAACTCGTGGGTCTTTTTCTCGTGCTTTTAAATGTATTGCTTCGCTCACACTGGTCTTTAATTAAATATTTATGCTACTTTAGTTCAGATAAGCTTTCTTTAAATGATGGTATGCTTCCTATCTCTCCGCGGGAGTCTCCCACTCCTTCTAACTCAAGTCATCATCACCGTCGCCGTAGCAGTCGCCATCATCGCCATGACGGCTACGTTCGAGATCGGGACCGACGTCTAGCCGATAGACATTCCCCATCTTCCAATAATAGGAATCGAAAACGTGGAGAAGACATGAAGGAAACCGACTTCGAACTAAGCTCTGAACGCAAACGCCATAAGGCTTATCATGAAGTCAAAAGTGAAGAAAGGCACTCAAGGAAGGATCGAGAAAGGACTCGAACTAAAGAGGCCAAGAAAGGACATCGAAAACATAGATCGTATGATAAAGAGCGAAAAGAATCGAGGGATAAAAGACCTCGCAGGCGCGAGTACGCGGATGAAAGGGAAAGCCGTTATCAGTATGATAAAGAGAAAAGCGTTGACTCTCTCAATCGCGAGCATGTAAGTATTCATTTGGAGTAAAATTTTGTCTTAATGTGTATCTGGTCCACAGGGAATCATTGTTTTGTAATGTTCTATAGTTGACAAACGGTTTCCTATCTTGTGTGAAGCAAATGCTCGCTTTGTTAAAACATATTAAGGTTTTATTCACTTAAAGGTGACTCAATCTTATTAGATTCGAATAGTTCGTAAGTGAAGTCTTTCGGGGAACTTTATTAATAAGTGATAAAGTTTCCATTTTTTTCGAAAAAAATTTTTTTTGATTGCTCTTTGCTAAATTCCACTAAGAGTCTAGTATATCTTCTTGTTAAAATACCATTTCGTCATTTGGCCTATTTTTTCAATGCAATTTATAATTTTATGCTCCATTAAATGCTGTTTAATGATCTTGAGAAAAAAATTAACTGATTTTAATTTCGACTCCAGAAATTCTTTCGTATTCCAGTGGAGTTAAACTTTGTGGTATTCCACTTCAAACTCACAACTAAAATGAGGAGTGAAAGTGCAGGAACATGAGAGAAATCTCAGTGCAGAGTGGTAACAACATTTTGATAAAAGGAATGAACACGTCACACCTCTACACTTTATTCTCTGCCCCCCTCGTGAGGTTTGATTATTGTTGGGTGCTTATAAGGATTAAAAAATTCTTTCTTATTATGTTCGTAATTTTATGACGAATTCAAAGGTTTCTTCACGTTGAACAATAAGGAGGAGGTGATAGGCATCATGAGATTCCTGCACTAATCGAATGCTTAAATCCATTTTTTTACATAAATTTAGTTTTGATGTCAATAACAGGTGCACGTGTTGTAATTTAGAGCCGTAGTGTTTCTCGCCAATCTTCAGTGAAACCCCCTACCTCTTCTGAAGAAGGCAAGAACCCAACACAAAATTCCACCAAAAGCTCCCTAAGTCCATTTGTGGTCACTTTGCTCAAACCTCTCCTCAAGGAGGACACGTCAGATGCTGAATTAGAAGAACTACTTCCTGCAGGCATTCTATCTGGTGAGATGGCCAAACGATCAATTCCCCTCCCTCGACCAACAAATCAGTTTAAACGTGGACCAGCACTCCAGAGTCATTTTCAGCCTCAATCTCATGCATCTTCACTTCAATCGCAGGAGGTCAAAACAGAATCCTCTAGCCAAGAACAAGATGCAACGGCAGTCGGTGAACCCTCAGGATCGAAGCAGTCTCTCGATAAGAATGAAATTCGTTTGGACAAGTTTCTATCGAACCTCTCTGACAGTTTGCAGGAGAAGAATCAGCAGATTGAGACTTGGAGTAGTGGTGCCAATGAAGTGGACTTCTCTGATGTCTTAATTGAAGAGGAAGGTACAATTAGAATGGTGGCATCTGCTGCGTCCTTGAGACCAAAGCAATTGTTGGAAGCGTGTCTTTCTACTCCATGGGATTCGCTTGAAAGACGAACAGACGAAGACGATAATGATAAATCAGAGGTGGTTTTTCGTGTTAAATTCTTCAGTCTAATAATAGTTTTATGGTTTCAACGCGAAAGCCCATTAAGGATATGTTATTTGCGTAGAACGTCATCAGCTCCCATTGATAGCCTCTTTTCCACAGTTAAGTAGAAATTAAAGTAAGATTTCATTTGTCTTGGGGGGTGGGGGAGGGGGGTTATAGTAACTATTGTCACGATTTAATTCTTTATTTGCTAATGATATAGTGGTCAAATTGGACCTTTGCAAGGTTAGTTCCTTCTTTTTTTGGATACGTAAGTGTTCAGCCATACGGGCCTTCATGATTGTATGAGTGCTAATAAACTTATTTGGAGCAATTATTACTGAATCTGCTGTATTATTTGAAAGTTTAGTTTTCTTTGCGATAATCAGCGTGTCCACTCGTTATTCTTAGGCTACAAGGCACTACCAACTTTTCAATGAATTCTTCACGTACTTGACGCTTTGGAGATCACCACACATTCGCGGGGAGGCTGATAGTGGTTTTTGTTTCCTGATTAATTGTTAAGATGCCAGGAATTGCTGAACATCTGTCGATGGGCTATGCCATTTGACCACAACGTAGTGCTATTGACACTTCTAATTAAAAGGAATAGGTTTACCCACGCTATCTTCCCACCTATAGTTGTATTGTCTTTAAAAATTTATAACTCATTTCAAATGGTGAGCTTTATGACACCTATCACTAGCCCTTTAGCTGACTTCGGGCTACACAGAGGGGAGGAACATCAAAGTGGGAAAAGTTTATCGACTTTTTTGCTGTATGAGAATACGTGGAGGTAAGTCCATCGCACTCGTCTTTAAAAATTAAACGGATGTATTCCTCTTATTATTATTATTCTAAAATTAGTGACCTTTTGTATTTTTGTCCGATGCTTGGTGGTAGATTTGAGAATTGTTCATGATTCAGATTAACTTTCCTTGTAGCAACACTCTCTGAAAATGTACTAGTAGATTCTCTACTGTATTTTAGAAATCCCATGAAGATAAAGAAGAGGATCCATTTGACTTGGTATCCCTTCTCTCCTCTTCCATCTCTCGCCGCTATCTCAATGACGAACTAGTTAAGGATCTGGAGGAAAGAGGAATATCTTTAGCTTCAACTGCCGTAAAGGATTGTCTTGTTGTTGCTGATAATTTCAAGTCCAGAATGGTTCCAGGAGTGCATGAGGAGAAGGCATGGCGTCAGAGTCTTCTGGGTATTTTCAGCATCTGAATTGGGCGGTGCTACTTTGTACAATCTGACCTGTAATCTGAATTGCAAAATTGTAAATAAACTCCCCCCCCCCCTTCATTGCCTTTTTTATTATTTTTTTTGTTTTTATTTATAAAGACCTTCTGCATCAAGTGTATTGCTCATTATTATTAAATCTGAAATTTTGAACAGACTCAAAATTTCTGAGTACAGGTGAATATGATGGGTATCAACACGAATACTAAAGATCGCAGACGTCATAAGGTGATGTTACCTGTCAAGCATCAACCAGTTCTTAATCTCCTCCTTTACTCGCAAATCGCTACACTGCATTTTGTCAAGCAATGCCCTTAAATAAGTGTTAATTGATTAAAACCTAGGGAGGAGGGGTTGTTTATATTGACCTGATTCCTCGAAGAAAGCAGAATTGAATTCATCTTAGAAGAGTTTTCTCATCGATTGCAAAACGACAACGCTTAACATAAAATTCTAATTAAGGAGTAATGTTCAAAACCGCCGATAATTCATCACAATAGTTAATCGTTTTTCTCTTGTGCCTTCTGTATATTCTGTCGAATTCGAATAGCGAGGCTTGGGTAGATCCTGTATCGCCAGAAGAGAGCCAGTCCCACAGCACTGACCGCGGCGAGAACGAAAACAGCTTGAAGGGTTACTTCTCGAGCTCCGAAGTACTGGGAGACCATGATTTCCTCTTCAACTGAAGCGTGCAAAAATATAGAGAAGTATTAGGCTTGTCTGATATTGTCTCGTTTTCTCACTTTGAGATATTCCTTTCTGGCTGATTATTTTGTACGAGTCCGAATTCTATGCTCTAATGTATCTGTTAGTCCTTAGTGTTTATGGGGATCTCTCAATCGTGATCCTTCATCCCACACTAAACTACCAAAAGTGTAAAAATTTTGAGGGTTTGAAGAGAAAATCTGGGTAAATATTTCATTGGCCACCAGCTTTACGTCAATAATGCGTCATTGCTAGTGATTGGTTTCCTAAACAGATAATTTATTCTTGCTTTATTGTGCTATTCATATCCTATTATCATTTTTGAAATTGCATTGCATAAAACTTGGTACGCCAAGTTGAACGAATGGTATTTTTTAATATAAAATGAAGGCTGCAGTGAGAATAGGATAGTCATTAACCACTGGGTGGTCAAAAGAGAAACCCTATCATTCAATATCCTAATAAGGTAACTTAACAATCTCGAATCGTGAACTCACCAGCACAGGCATGCGGATCACATGCACTGAACTCGATGGAGGGGCCATGACATCCAGAATGTTCACCCTCCCTAGACAGACATTTTCGAGATCGAAGAGCCCATCGTTCTGTTCCGCATGCAGGCAAGCAATGACCCCAGGGACTCCATGTGCTCCAGATACCCGTGAATGTTGCACAATTCGGTGAATCCTCATAGCCCTCATTGCAAACACAAATGGCCTATCAATTTAAACAAAAAATAATCACATATACCCTCCAAAAAAAAGATTGCGCAAAAGCATTGATTCTGAGGCTATCATAACTTTCAATCCTTTCTACCTCCATCGAATCTCCCTAGGAATGGTCAATGGTATAAACATTAATTACTTGAATGCTAAGGCGAGGTGACCCAAATTTTGCCTCATTAATTGGCACTACCTGTCATCATTAGCTATTATCACTCCGACAAGTAGCTAATCAATCCATTTCTGTGAACGATGGCATTAATTGGGCGTTTCACTAAGAAATAAATAGCACTTGACATACCTCTTTACCATCCAAGCTGTCGACACACTGACCGTGGATGCAGATCATCTTGTCACAATTTGTTACTTTCTTTTGACAGTTGTCGTAGCTCAACGAGAGATCACCAACCCAGCGGTCTTCGCTGCAGAAGCACGTAAAATATGGACCGATATCAGAATTAACTGAAGGTACGCAACGATTGCCATCGTTATTGATGTTACAGGCTTGATTGCCCGCAACTGGAAGACCACCATTGGGAAGTAAAGGATTTCGGATGTGATCGTTACACGCGTTGGCAGGGATTGAACAGTTGTCACCCATGTAATAAGGTTTGCACAGACAGATTACTTTCTAAAATCAAATCATGCTGTGCTTGGTAATAGCTCTCAAGACTGAAGGTTTGTACTTATCGATTTTCAATAATCCCAAATTTACAAGGCAGTTTGCGCACTTTTGGCTGCAAAATAAGCCATAAATAATCTGACTTCTGTATGTTTCAAATCCTCGACTAGTGAACCATGGGAAATTATTGGCAAATGGAAGAGACTACAGAAGAATGAAACAATCTGGCATTAGTTTAAATTGGACTTTGTAGGTTTGGTGTGAGATAGACTTACCTCCACGTGGTGCACCCTGGGCAACTTATACTCCTACGACAAAAAAGTCTATTAACCGGCAGTTGACTTCTGACTTCAAACTACCATCACCCCACTGATTGTGTCATATTCGACTACTTTCACAGTACTCATCTCACCTTTTTCCTACGTTTGTGTCTGTCTCTTTACATCTTTGAAACCCTCTTCTGTCCCCCCCCCCTCTCAACTTTTTTTTTACTTTGATGTTCCTTCCCCTCTGTGAAGCCTGAAGTCAATAAGTTTAAATTGGCCTTTGTAAGTCAAATGATTTCAAAGGTAATTGGAAAGCACAACTTAGTCTTTTGTTAGGAAGAGTTATATTTCTTTCACTGGCAAGTGAAATGACAACACTCCCAATCAG